ACCGTCACGGATAGCGGCCGCGCTCAGAGGCAACTTTTGGCGCACGCCCTATGGTGCCGAGACTGTGCCACGCTTGCGATGCCGTGGACAACCGTCACGGCTAGCGGCCGCGCTCAACGACTTTAGTTTTGCACACCTTTTCTAGGGTCGAGAATTCAGTCGCGCCCGATATGCCCTGGACGACCGTCACGAACAGCGGCCGCGTTCAGAGACCACCCCTTTCGCGCACCCTCTACGGTGTTGAGAGAATGCCACGCCTGCTGTGCCCTGGACGACCGTCATGGATGGCGGCCGCGCTCAGAAACCACCCCCTGCAAACCCCGTCACGGCGTCGAGAATATGCCACGCCTGCGATGACTTGGACGACGGTGACGGATAGCGGCCGCGCTCAGAGACCACCCCTTGGGCGCCCCGCACGGTGTCGAACATATGCCACGCTTGCTCGGCCCTAGACGACCGTGACGGATAGCGGCCGCGCAGACAGACCACCCTCTGCGCACACGCTACGATGTCGAGAATATGCCGCGCCTGTTATGCCCTGGACGACAGTCACGGATAGCGGCCACGTTCAGGCACCACCTTTGGCGCACACCCCATGGTGCCGAGACTGTGCCGAGCCTGCTACGCCCTGGACGACCGTCACGGATAGCGGCCGCGCTCAAAGGCGTCCTTTTTGCGCACCCCTTTTTGGTGTCGACAATTCAGCCACGCCCGCTATGCCCTGGACCGTCACGAATAGCGGCCGCGTTCAGACACCACCCTCTTGCGCACCCTGTACGGTGTCGAGAAAATGCCACGCTTGCTGTGCCCTGGACGACCGTCATGGATGGCGGCCGCGCTCAGAGACCACCCCCTGCAAACCCCGTTACAGCGTCGAGAATATGCCATGCATGCTATGCCTTGGGCGACCGTGTCGGATGGCGGCCGCGCTCAGAGACCAACCATCCTTTGCACACCCTTTCTGGTGTCCAGAATATGCCACGCTTGCGATGCCCTCGACGACCGTCACAGATAGCGGCCGCGGTCAGAGACTACACTTTGCGCACCCTCTGTGCTGTCGAGAAGATGCCACATCCTTTATGCCCTGGACGACCGTGTCCGATAGCTGCCGCGCTCAGAGACCACCCCCAGCGCACCCCCGTATGCCGACCGGGAATATGCCACCGAGACTATGCCATGCTTGCTATGCCCTGGACGACCGTCACGGATGGCGGTTGCCCTCAGAGACCACCCCCTTCGCACCCCTTTTATGGTGTCGAGAATATGCCACGCCCGTGATGTTTTGGACGAGCGTGACGGACATCGGCCGCGCTCAGAGACCACCCCTTGCGCACCCTCTACGGCGTCGAGAATATGCCACGCCCGCTGTTCACTGCGAATCCTACACGTATATTTTGCATATGGCGTGGCATCCGTTACAGATAGCGGCCGCTTTCAGAGACCACCCTTTGCGCACCCCTTTACGGTGTTGAGGAAATGCCAAGCCTGTTATTCACGGCGAATCCTACACGCATGTCTTGTATATGGCGTGTCGTGCGTATTTGTATGATGCGTGTGCAGTTGTGTCTGGACGTGTGTGTCATGTTGGTGCCCAGTATGTGGCGCATGCGTTTTGTGTGTGATGCGGCGAGCACGCCAGGCGTGCACTGACGTCGCCAGAGCGTGTGTCTTGTGTGCGCTGCGCATGTGTATGATGTGTGTGCTGTGTGGGCGGTCGCGTGTCTCATTGTGGTTGTATGATACAGTCAACACGCCAGGCGCGCACTGGCGCTTTATGGTGTGTGCGAGTGTGTGCATGCGCGCGGCTGTGCGTAGACGCGCGTCCCATGTACGCGCCATCCATGTGTTGCGCGTGGTCGAGGGGGGGGGAGAAGGAGGAGGGAGGGGAGGGGAGGGTGAGACGCGGGTGCGACGCGGCAGAGAAGCAAACCAGAACCCCACTGGGGAAGTATTCCCCCCTTCGGGAACTCCGAAAAAATTCTCCTGGACTCATCTTGGAACGCTCTGGGGACGCTCTTGTGCGCTCCGGGGGGCGCCTTGAGTCTTGGGGATCTCTTGGACCTCTCCTGGGACTCTGGGGTCTTGGAGCCGTTTTCGGCCATCGCGGTCCCCCCCCTCCATCCAGGTCAGGTCCAGGGGAAGGAAGGAGGAGGGATCAAGCTACCCACCCGCCCGCAAGCTGTCTAGTTCACTCCCACCCGCCCTCCCAACACAGAAGTAACACCCGAGCCTGAGCGTGTTCAGCGGTCGTCTTTAGACGGACAGCTACTGAGAACCAAAGCCGACTCCAGGTGCGCGACACTTGAGATGCGCCACGCGTGCCAGGGGCGCCACGCGCGCCAGGCACCCCTTGGGCCCGAGCGTGCCAAGCACGCCTTGCGCGCCAGATGCGCCACGTGCTCCGAGAGCGCCAGGTGTGCCACACACACACACAGACATACACCCGCACGCACGCACGCACGCACGCACGCACGCACGCACGCACGCACACACACACACACACACACACACACACACACACACATACACACACACACACACACACACACACACACACACACACACACGCGCGCGCGCGCACATTCTAGCCGCGCCAGGTGCACCACGTTCGGGGCACGTGCAGAGTCC